GGGGGGGGAGTACAAAAATCTCCTCAGGTTTACTCGTTTCAGAGTGGGAGGCTGTACATGTGTTTGTACCAATTTCTGGAGCTGAGATTTGGATAAATTAACACTGGAATCGGGTTGCTCCTAATTTAGTGCACCATTGAGTCTCGCGTTTCCTGCTCTGTGGGTTTCTGCTATGTAAATATTGCAGTGGTGATGCACAATCTGTCTCCACTTTGTGCCAGTAACACTTAAATTAGGTGTCGCCTGAAGGAAGATTTTATGCTTAGTTGCAGCATTGTCAGTTAATTATCTTAAAGCTTATTTGCAATAATACCGTTTGCCACTTTTTAAGTGGCAAGGGGGAAAAGTTGCATTTTATAAGCTTATCCTAGACTGACTCTCCAAAAGTTGGCCTGTTACTTAACAGGAGAGGTGACCTTTTGATGTCCACAGTACAAAACCATGCACAAGGGAAAGACTACTGGAAAATGACCACAGCTCTAAGGTTCCAAACAAAAGAAAAAACCTTACTTTTCAGCAGTGAACCTGGACCATCAACGGGAGAAGTGTCACCAGCACTTTTCACTGACAGTCAAGCCACCTGAAAATCCAGGGGCTTGCTAGAGTGAGGAACAATATTAGAAACGGTTGTTCTCTCCTTCCCCTATGGATACCCGCCTTCCACTCTCAACATGCACATGAACATGCGAGCATATGTGCGCGTGCACACACTCATTCATCTTTGCCTGCACTTTGTATCAAAGCAGAATATGTGAAATTAGAAACTTCCCATTTGATTTAACATCATCCCTTTCGTCTGTGGCCATCAGAAAATGATTGCATTTCATCGAAAAATATTTTATGTTAACATGATGTTTTAGATCAATTTCTTCATCTTAACCAAAAATTCTAGATCTTGCATGAATAAACGCAGATCTTTGCCTATGTATGCCTGCCTTCAAACTTGCAAATAGCCTCATCGACTCCCCTCTCGGGGCCTGCCTGTGCACAGACTCAGGAAAGATTGCTGTGTCTCTGGTGTGCACCTAATGCCAGCGGAGGGTAAGCATGTAACAATACTTCCTTTGCAAATCCATAATAAGCTGAGGTAGGAGATGGGACATTCAAATGAGAAACCTAGCAGAGTTCCAATCTGGACCAGCACTGCGTCCAGTAGCAAAGTCTAACATGGGCTTCACATTGGACACCATCAAAGAGGCCACCTGTCACTGTAAACTGCTGGGGGAGGGGAGAAGCAGCGATGAGAGCAAGGTTACCCTAAATTTCAATAGCTGGCAAACAAAATTCAGCCTAAAAACACTCTTATGTCAATGGCCCGAAAGTTCTTGAATGTTGGAAACAAGACTTTCCCATTGTATTTGGAAAGGGTGGTGGCCAGGGAAAATTGTCCCAAAGGAGCCAGGCTTTCTGGTGATGGCAACTTACATGTTAAATTGCGAACTGCTCTTAAATAAGAAACGCCCTCTTATTGGGCCATAAGCATTCACAACAGTGTAGCAACTGTAGAAATTAAAGCCAAGGGGTGACTGACTATTAGGTCATTCCTTCCCTACCCCATTAGTGTAGGTTTGTTTCCTACAGCAAATGCTCTCGGTGCTTTGTCCAGCAAGGTTTAAACGACTCAAGTAATGGGGCTTCCAGTGGGGACATATGGTTATTTTATCCAGTTAGCATGTTTCTTTCAGTTTGCCTATAAATTGGCTGGTCACAGAAATTGGGTCTGCAGGTAGGTGACTCAGAGTCTTGAGGGGATCTTGGGGTTTAAATAATGTAGGTTCAGTTTATAAAGACTTAGTATAAATAGGTTGCTTGGTCATATAAAGTATTGCTTCCAACAAACATCTAATCTGTTTTATTTCAAATGGGAATCACTAGGGAAAACATGAACACCCTGATACTTTGTCCAAGCACAGGGGACGTTTAAAGATGGGAAACGCAAGGTGTGTGTCCTAGGGAGACAGGCATATATTTCTAAAAGACCTTTCTTCCCTCATCTGATGAAAATTTCACACAAATAATGCTTTTAAGTAGAAATGATCCAAGAGGAAAACGTTATGTAGCTTCGCTTTCTCTACTGCCTCCTGCTCCCGTCTTAAATTATATCCTTCCCGAAAGCTAAACATATAGCACAAGTTCACATAGTAGGTAAAATGCTGGGCAATTTGTGTTCCCTAAAGAAATAATAATCAGTAGTAGTAGTAGTAATTATAATAGACATTCTACCTTTTTTTTTTCTGTCCCTTCCAAATAAAAATCCTGGGACTACTTAATTTGTTAGGATTCAGATCATTATCAGATAAATTACAAAGATTGAGTCTGGAGTATACAGATTTTTTTTTAAATTAGAAGTTCTATGGAAATAAAATTTGATGCTGCTCGTTTAAAGTTGAGTGGGAAACATTTTACATTAAAAGATAATAACCAGCTCCTATAATCTCTCAGTATTGGAGAGGCTATTCCTCGTGACTGCTTTGTTTTAGGAAACAGATATTTTCAAACAAAAATACTTGTTTGGCACAGCAGTCCTCATTAATAATTAGTATGTATGTAGACTGGCATTAGGTGTTGTAGATCATCTTTTATCAAAATTTGCTGGAAAGTTATTAAATATTCCACACAACCTATGTGTCTATTTTAATTCTCACAAACTAAAGTATTTCCAATTTGGCTGATATCTACCTTATTCTTTTTTCTATCCTTTAAGAAAAAATGTAGTGTGAGGTAAAACCTGCATATTATTAATTTTTTAGCTTCCAATTATTTGGTAAAATGTAAAACGCTTCCATCATGTTTCTTTTTAAATTTATAGAGCACCAACCTAAAAGTCAGCCCTGCTCGTTTTACCCTCTTTTTAAGACTCAATAGTCAATTCAAAAGTATTTGAAAAAACCGAGTTAAGAACTGGATTTAGAATTATTTTTTAAATATTATTTATAGCAGTATTTTACAGTTATTTTTCATTAACTAAGAAATTTGTATATGGTTCAAAAAATAATTTACAAAGGAATATTTAAGAAGGCAGTGAGTATAACTGCTACCAAGAGAAGCTGTCACTTGCTTATGAATAAGCATATACATATTTATTCTGTGTACATATACATACTTATTCTGTCTGTATACTGACACACGGCAATGTGGACTCTCCTGAGTGCCCCACGTACAAACGTAGTGCTCTTTCCCTCAATATTATTCGTCACTTTGGAGGCAACAGTGACATACGGAGAGTACATCGCTTTGTACGTGATCACTAATTACCAGAAATTTTAATATACAAACGTACTATTTCTTTTCAAGTGGAGACTTTCGTAAAAAAAAGTTAAAAAAAGAGTAAGGATGGATAGTTGTTGGAGGTCCTTTGCTAGACCAGTGTTATTTCTGTAGCATTCAGCTGCAGCCAAGACGGCTTCATTTCTGCTGCTCGATGGGCTCTTTCTTCTATGGCTGCTCTAAGTGCTGGACTCCGCTTTGGGGGAATTTCATCCACTTTTTCAATATTTTTCATTCCTTATAGTTTGGCAAGCTAGATAAGGGCTCAAAGAAGTGGATGAAGAGTTTACCTTTAAGATCTAGGTTCAATCAATAATTATGAAGGTCAAAACAAGGTCATTACTTGATATTACACTGTAAACATCACACATTACTGAAACCTTCTCATTTAATTCTTGAGAGGATACAAATTAGTAAATTTACATTAATAAGCAAATCCACTACTGGAATATTAAGTAGGAATTTATATTTTAATGTAAAAAGATAGGGGGGGAAAAGAATGGGTTTTCTTTGCTGGGTTTTTTTTCCCCTTATGTCTCTTTAACTAGAAAATTGCAAACAGTAATGAATTTCTACCACCACCTCAAATGTCAGAAGCAAATTATTTTTCTAGGTGTCTGATGACGGCTCCCACACCTTTCATTGTGTTTCCAAATGCCAGGCTTTACAAAAGAAATACTGTTTGGTCCGGGAGCCTTCTAGAAGTCTCCCTGTGAGAAGCCAGAAATCTCTCGAGCCAAAAATACCGTTTCCGCCTATTCAAGTGCCAGAAAGCCTACTGCCTCTCTTTCACACAGATCAAATAAACCATCTAAAGATTCGGTTGCTGTCCTTGTCAACTGAAAAAGGTTGGTCCCACTAGCCGACAGTGTCATCTCCCACACCCGTGCATCCTCGCCACCGCATTTGTAAGCAATCATGCTAAAATCACCACGAGCTGACTTCTGTGATAATAAAAGATGAAGGGAGTTTATTTAAGACATGACACCCCCCTTCTTTCCTTGCTCACTAACATTTGCAGAACTATGTCATAATTTTGACTGTATCCACGTCCAGTGCCTTTAAAGGTGTTGGCAGTGACCACTTCGAGATTGGGTCGATTGAAAACATATCATAAAATTTTTAAGCACTTTAAGGTCATAAAATTCTAGTGATACTCATATTCTATTTCATATATATAGATAC